TCTACTCTTAAATCATTCCTCTTCAAATAGTTCAACTTCTTTCTAACATCCTCCAGCGCCGGTGACAAGCCAGTTTTGTTTGCTTTAATAGGCGCTTTAAAAATGTGTATTATTATTATTATTACTATATTTCTAATATATCACTTATTCATACTTGTACAAAATAGATCAATTAACCATTCATGCTTTGTAATTACTGTATTTTTCACTATGGGATTTTATAAATATTAACGTACGTACAAGTAATAATAGTTAAACATTGCTTTAACAGTAGAACCTTATCCACTAGGTCCCACCATAGATGGGGAAGAGGTGCGAACATTTTTTGGACTCTAGGTGCCCAGAAATTGCACTCTGATACCTTAAAAATTGTACAGGTACCATGGTCATATCAACAATACAATAGAAAAATGTTTATTAATAATTTATGCACCCTCTGCATCCGTCCCAGATCAGTACGGCCCTTCCATTATTATTATCAATAATAGTCATATGTTACCATAATAGAATAATTCTTTCACGATTTAAACTGTGGCCTACTAATTCTTCTCATGTTATACCTTTTAGCAGTATCACAGTATGGAAATTTCAAATTCAAAACTTAAAACATAATTTAAAATTTGATATGTAAGCTGTGCATACTATTCTGTACAAGAAAAAGGTTTTGGACATTAAATAACCGAATAAAAATAAATATGCCACTTGTGACACATCCTTCCATTAACATGTTCACAAAAAATATCGGCGTATTGTCTGTCGGCAAATTGTCTGTCGGTAAATTGCCTGTCGTCGAATCGTCCTGTCGGCAAACTGGCATTCGGTGAAGTGTGGTGTCGGCAAAATCTTGTGTCGGCGAATAGTATTTCGGTCAATAGTCTGTAGGCCAAATGTCTGTTGGCCGAATGTCTGTTGGTGAAATGTCCGCTTGGCCATGGTTTAGGAATATGCGAATTCTTAGATGTTTGTCAGCGTGTTTTAAATGGCGACCAGTTTCACCAATATCAGAAGGGTTACAGCTTCCGCAAGTAAATTTGTATAGGCCTATTACGCCCGAATAAACATCAACTTGAAGAGGATCCTTATCTGAAAACAGACATTGAATTTTAAATGATATAAAAAATAAAACCAGTACAAAATTCTTTTAGTTAACGAAGTAATATTGGAACTATCTTGCTAAACACTTAAATAGTTCCAATGTATATGCAAGCGAAACGAGCATTTAGATTTGAGGCTAAAGCTACGGATATTTGACGAATGTGGGTGGATTTTATTAGTTATTTGATAGGCATCATGCTATAGTAATAAATGGATATTAAAGTAAATAAATTAAAGTGGATATGACCGCTATAGAAATCTGGTTTATCATTAATATGACTTCATAGTTGTCCAAACCAGTCAAATTCGTGGTTTGTGTTGTGCACAGTTTGTTCCTTTTAGTCATTTTGAGTTGTTGGTGTTGTTTCAAAGTCGTTTAAAACTGTGCACGAAGTATGCAAACTGCGCAAGGCTTCTTTCAACAATTATCGTAAAATATATTTAAATACTACAGTATATTACTAATAGGAATTAGTCTGATAGTTTCATCAGGCTAGCCTAGGCCCGACCTCGCAGTAACCTGTTGCTGGACTGCTATTTCAGGGTAACCTCCCTCTAGCTTCTAGGCCAGACCTAGACTAGAATTATTTAAAAAGTACATTAAAATTGAACTTTAAGTGATTAATTGATTGATAAGGTGACAAATAGATTATATAGATTAAAATAGGACAACGCCAAAACAAACAAGTGACCACAATTAATCTTCATAGACTTTTATAATGATTGAAAGTATACGTAATAATTAGGGCCTAGGCTTGGCCTAAGTCTCGTAGTTTTTTTTTTCATTTTTTCCTTGAAATTTTGATGTTATATTTTTTGGCAATTTATATGCTGTTTTGTTTCATATAAACTTAAGTGTGTTAATTCATACGCAGTTCAGCCATGTGCTGCTATGTATGCATTTTACTGGAGATTGAATAAATATACCTCAATGTTAGTGATTATCATGCTATTAAAAGTGTTTTTTTACAAAAAAAATGTTCAACAAAATAATATCGTCATTGCTATAAAATAATTTATGAATAACTAGAAGGTGCGCTTGCTTACCCTCTAATATGTGAACGTCTCGATTAGTTTAAAAAAAATAGAATTTTATTTAATTCCATACATTTAATCGACCAAAATTAAAGATTATAGTGACAATAAAAGATAAGTTGCATGGTTTTGATGGCAGTTTCATATCATTTTTCAACATCAAAATATTTAGAACAATTGTGTTTGTTATCCGACTGTGCTTGGAAGTGCTTGGAAATCGAGTGTGTTTGAAAGTTGCTCTTTTGGCGTTTCATATAATACCGCAAAATTGTACGTTGTACATTGCATGTTGCTCCTTTGGCGTTCCATATAACTCTGCAATACGGTTGGGACACGACTGCAGAATATTTTGGTCCAGTGAAAGTCGTGCGGTCAATATGTGCCCTATTTTGGTCAGGGGCAGCTAAAGCAATGTTCTACTGTAACACATTGAGAACCGGAAAACCGACTATACTTGAAAACCGATTGTGCTTGAAAATCGACTGCTTTGAAAGTTTCCCTTTTGGCGTGCATATAACATCATAAAGCTATAGGCCCTACGTTGAATGTTGCTCTTTTGGCGTTCTATATAACACGGCAAAACAACTGTTTTTGCTAACCGACTGTGCCTGAAAGCCGATTGTGCTTGAAAATCGGCTGCTTTAAAAGTTGCCCTTTTGGCGTTCATATAACATCATAAAGCTATACGTTGAATGTTGCTCTTTTGGCGTTCCATATATCACCGCAAAACGACTGGGACACGGTTACAGAATTTGAAGATACGTAAAAAGCATTTTGGTCCAGTGAAATTCATGCGGTCTAGTGAAAAACGTCTATAAATGTCCCTATTTTCCAAACAAATAATCTGAAATATAGATTGATATAACTTCGTGCGATCGGGACTTTGATGATCGATGTTGTTAAAGTTTTTCAGACCGGTAGGTTTCAAGTCCTAAATGTTAATTTAGGCCATCAGGTTTTCTATTATCATTTCAGGTTTTTTTAAAATAAGCGCAATAATATAAAAAATAAAAATACTAGCCGGCATCGTTTTATAAATTGTGGTTCTATCTTGAAAGATGAGGAAACTAATTATTGTCAATAGTAACATTGTGTACTGTAAGATGTGGTAACGTACAGTAAGTTACAGTAACATTTTGTTATATTTTACCAGTTTACCCAATCGTAATCAGTTTGCATCTATAATTTACCTGTTAATAGAGCAAAGACCAACAATTATGTGACAATTGCTCTGTTTTTACTGACGAATATTCTGCATGAGGTGACTTTTTTTTTAAAGTACGTCTTTTTGTGTAACGTAAAGTTACCAATGTGTGAGTACGTTAAAATAGTATTTAAAGAGTTGAAAGTTTTAATAAGAATTCTATAAATGCTGTACAATACAGTTTTAAATATTACTTGCATATGATAATACAATAATTCTATATCTTTGCTACATCTTTAGAGTGGATAACAGTAATGAAAATTAATTTAACTAGGTTAAACCTAGGTTACCGTGGAATTGCTCTCATAGTATGCAATGAAGTTTGAATTGTTCAAAACAATGATACTAAAATTAATATAAACACATAAAATACATTAATTGCAACAAAATCTTTCCATTTCAAACTACTGTATACTTAAAACAGTTCTGATGGAGTATAATCAAATGAAATAAAATACATTTAATTTCAAGAAAATCATTCTTGTAATTCTATAAATGTTAGTAAACATGAATTTTAGAAATAAAAACACTGACAACGTTTTTACAAGAATAACATGTATCTTTCATCCTTTTATTTTCATCGGTGTGAAGATTCTCTGGTAGAGATTGGATATCTTTGGCTGTTAGTAATGGTCTCTCTTGGTCACTTCCTATGTCTGTAAATTTGACGCTGAGACAAGATATTGGAAGGCCGAACTCATCTCCACTTTCTTCAATCACTCCAATTATTCGGTTTCAGCATGGCTGCAACCACACATTGATAATTCCAGGTGAGAATTGTTAATTAGGATCAGAATAGTTGTTAGAAATATTAGATATGTTAAGTACATGATATATTGTTTTTGTGTCTTTGTATATGTACATTGACAATATACGACTTATTGCGCTTCACATTATTACCTCGTTCATTGGATCCAGAGGTGACGGAACTAGTTGGCGCTGCGTTATGGAGAGTAATGTGTGACCAGAAATGGTCTGCAGTCAGTTGGTTGTTACCATGCGCCAGTGATGTTGGAGTACAACATCATGAAACTATTTATGTAATGTATGAATAAGGGGTTTGTCGGGTAGTGAAATGATTATTGTACATTTTAAGTGCTCCAGTTACTCTATGCATAAGTGTAAACTAAATTACGGTGATTAATTAGCAAAGATATGGAGACAATTATTTCGAAGTTCGAAGGGGATGCAGATGCTTTGTGGAAATGAGTACGCTGTGGTACTCATTTCCACAAAGGAATACACGCAGCTGGTTATAGCTAACAATGTGCAAATGTTAAATGGGAAGGAAGGTGCAGTACACGTTCTGTTGCCTAGCATACGTCTGTACTGTAGCGTGGGGTGGGGGGCGGTAAGCATAAGTTGGTTAGCCAACAATATGCAATTACAGTACCAACATGTCACGCCCATGCAATGTAAGTGAGCAGAGCCGATACACAGGAATGGTATATTACTCAACAAAATTCCCTCCGCACCTCCATGACGTCATAAAACCACTGCAAGACCTAATGGCCCTCTCACATAGTAGCGAATAGAGCTAACATATGCCGAGCGTACTGATTTTTTCCTCCGAAGTCCAGATATGCTCAAATATGTTCAAATTCTAGGCAAAAAACAAGCATCCTTGTGTAAAAGACGAACGCCCAACGAATGAAGAACGAATGCTGATCGTATAACCTATGTACATCTAACGTTCCTTTAATGAATGAAAGCGCATTCGTAGCGTTTGTCCAACGAATACTAAGTGTACACAACGAATGTCACACGTAGGCCTATGTCTAGCATGCTGCTGCCAGCAACAACACGTATCTCGACTAGGTCGACCCGCCCTTCACAGTTTACCTCGGATAGTGCCAGACCAGTTCAAAATTGCTTCATTATGCCTCCCAAGGTATATAAATCTACCAACCAAGTGGACAGTCAATATTACAATAGCCGCAGTCGAGAGGCTGCATCACCTCCAAACATCCCTGTCCGGACAGACTCACCTAAACCCCCACAAACTCGCCTAAAACCCCACTCCTTTACCCATCATACCTCGTGACTCCGATGCCTGGTCACGTGGCAATCTGATCTCCACCTTGAAGTCCATTGTCTAGCAGTCTTCAAAGAAGAATAGAACCAAACACCGGGGTTGCATCACCTCTAATTATTAATTATTGTATATAAAAGTTCTATTGAATTAAAGTATACTGAATTAAAATGTTCTACCAGATTGAACGATCAAACTATCATCTGTTGAGAGAGATAACGTTACATGCCATCCTGTAATGTTGGTGAATGTCTAGGGGATCATCTTAATAATTCAACACTCACTGCATGTGGAGAGCTGAAAACTAGCTACAGTGTTCCTTTGGGCTGTGATACCTTCTGTGCAGGGATCGTCTCAAAAATTCCGGTTTTTCTTGCTAATTTTTCACTAGACAATCGGGCAACATGAGTATAAATAGGCTAGCCCGGAGCGGGGTTTTTTGTGATATAAGGGGGGGGGGGGGGGGCGCGCGTCGCAGCGTATCCTTATAAAAAGGCTGCCGCTCGTCGATGCAAATCATAACCGCACTAGACATCGCAGTATCAATGTCACCATATTGACATCACCCTATTTTAATATACCTATTCCCCTAAACGCTTCCAATACGCCATTATACGATAACTGTAAGTTAGAAACACGTTCAGTAAGTTTTGTGTCGTCTGGAACACGTTAAATACGTCTACGTACGTCAATATACGTTGGAGTAAGTTACATGCAAGTTCGAAGCACGTTACTCATAGGTTAGAAATACGTTTTGACTTTTGAGTAACTTACAAGTAACGTGTGTCAACGTGTGTCAACTATCGCTTAACTTACTAAAACTTATGGCTCGCGTATGCGGAACGTACGAGCCATTCGCTGGTATACGTCAACAAGTTTTGTGCATGCACAAAACTCTTCGACGTACTCGCCGTACTAGGACGTATACCAGCGTACTTCAGCGCAGGGACGTATCCAGGGGGGAGCCGTGGGAGCCGCGGCTCCCCCCCCCCCTTTGTACACACTGTTAAAATTTTAAAGATTATTCTTGAGCCAATACAAATTCTTTCCTGGGATCACTCAAAATGAATACTTCTAAACATGTAAATATGCATCAGTACCCGTTATACGTAGGCCTAATAGAACACATAGGCTGTCTCTTATACACATCTAGAAGTGTATAAGAGACAGATTCAACACT